AAATAAAACTAGAAATGGAAACCAAAAGCAATAGCAAAGCATCACAGCAAAAAAGTCTATCATAAATGACTTGAATCTATCGCTTAAATCCAATACACGAAACTATAACAGTATTCTGAACTTCGTCTTCGGATTGACATCGGACTATAGTATACTACATTTTGAGGTCGTCGTGGCTTCACGGATTATTCTCATTAGTGAGCAAGTCAGCAAGCGAAGGCATACAAAAGATACCCAAATATGTACGAATAATTATATTGTTGATCCTCGCTGGCATGTCATTTAGATAAATATATATCGTACATTAAACGTTGTACTATTTACTGTATAAACTGCTGACAATTTCGTCGTCGATACGGCTTCCACTATTGGCACACTCGTGATTTCGAAGAAATTAATAAATACATGCTCATTTATCATTTATTTAGACCACAGTTTGTAAAATTTTAGACGTATTCGGTATTCCAAATCCCAATCTATCTGATCGTATTTTAGTAATAGCTTCAAATATTCAGAACATTGTTCTTTCAGTCGCACATAGTACAAGTATTACTGTACATTCAATGCCAATGGTAGTATTTTATTCGGCTTTATATTTGTATGTGTATTGATATCTATTTAATATTTGAAGAATTCTATATTTTTCCGAGTAATATATTGTGCGGGCCCGCTAATGCTTTGTATTATGTATACATTTTAATATTCAGTATTTCTTCGTTGCACAATGTACACGCCTTGCGTCAATTTGACAGTTGACAGTTTATTTATCGCAGTCCACGCTGATTGGTTCGCGTTTAGCAGATGCGAAAAGGGGATGATTGAATAAAACGCATGGTTCCGTGCAGGCTCACCTTTCTCCCAGTGAGCCTGTTCGCAGGCTATAATTATAATAAAACAATTGTTGAATTCGGTTTTTGCGATATGCAAAATTATCAAGGTCGGGGAAAGCGTTATCAGCGATAACGCTTACCTCGACCTTGATAATTCCGCATATCACAAAAACCTCATTCAATAATTGTTATTTATTATAATCATTATAATCGTGATCATTATAATCATTATTCTAATTATTGTAATTAGGCCCTTTCCGATTATGCTAGCACAATTTTCAGCATAATTTGGCTTAACGAGCATATTTTTTGCATTTTTTTCAAAAAAGAATGGCTAGCATAATTTAGCATTTTCCCGATAATTTCGTGGGTATTTGGCTGTTAAAAAGCAAAACTTTTCATATTTTTTCCTTTATTCAGTTTTAGGGAGCTTAGGAAAACTATATTTCCTGTTCTTTTTCCCAATAAAGTCAAAATAAATTATGTTTTATCTGTGTATCTGATAATTCGATACGGTCGTACGGAAATACAAATCTGAAAGTGGAAGCACAGGCCACGCAAGGAAGCACTAACGAGGCAGGGAATAGGCCAACTCCTGCACAAATTGCCCGAAAACGATCGAAGAGTACATGTTGTTGTGCCTTGGCCCTTCGGTTGTATCTACCTCTTCTAATTAAAGCCAAGCATATTTTTCAACCAAATGAGCATAATTTTGCAAAATGAGCATAATTTGAGCATAATTTTAGGAAATAACGAGCATTGCTATGAGCATAATATGCCAGTTTTACTAGCATAATCGGGAAGGGCCTAATTGTAATTATTGTAATTATTATTATTATTCTCATTTCATTATTATTATTAGCTATTCATTTTATTATTATTAACTTTTCATTTTATTATTAATTAGCTAAGCATTATGGGCTTTTTGTGGTTCATACAATAGCACAAACGCATTTGCTAAAATATCATTTCCTGCTCTTTTTTTAATATCAGAAAGTGCAAAGAGGTGGCCATTGGCGCAATAACGTCTTATGCAGTTCCGGCAACTCCATTGGCGGTGACGAGTACAAGTGAAGATCCCGCTTGGACGCCAGGTAAATGGCGCACTCTGGAGAACTCGGAGAGTTCCGACGAAGCTGAGTCACGCCCTGATGCGGTGCTGAACGGCTATAATGATTCAATGGCAAAGATCGCGTCCCCGTCAGATGCAAGAGTGGTTTCTCTCGAATCCAGACTTCAGTCTGATTGGGCAAGTGCTTCAGAGAACGAGAAGGCGAGATGGGAAAAGCATGTTGACGAGGCTTGTAGGGCAGTGTGTCGAGTGATTGCCCCAAAAGCTTCTTATGAGCTCTTGGCAGCATACCGAAAGTCATCAGTACCAGGAAAGGCAGAAAACCATCCTCGTACACAGGCCGAAAACGCACTAGTCGCTGCTTACCAAAACACACCAACGAAGAGCCTTAAGACACAGATCCTCAGTGATATTCCCACCATTCTATCTGCGAATGTGAGGTCGCTGCCAAAGAAAGGAGATGAGATTGAACAAATAGCTCTGCTGAATTCTGTTGGTGCTATCTGTATAACCGAAACTTGGTTATCGCCAGAAATTCCTGACTCATCCATTTCTATTCCTGGTTATAATTTATTCCGCAGGGACCGAATTGAAACGTCTGGTGGTGGTATGTGTATGTACGTAGACCAAAATATACCATGCAAACTTTTGGAATTCAGTGATCAAACGGAGCTCGAATCAATATGGATATCAATGAGACCACATATTTTACCAAGAGAAGTTACATCAATCGTAGTAGGCGTGATCTATCATTCGACGAGTAATGGGAAACCTGAGAACATTATTTTACGTGATCATGTTCAAAAAAATCTTGATGCTGCGTTACTTAAACAGCCAAATGCATTAATTATTCTAACAGGCGATTTTAATCCAACATCGACTGGTTTTAATAAAAAATATATAACCCAAGTGAATAGCCTTAAACAGTTGGTTACCTTTAAAACAAGAGATTCTGGTATTTTAGACTGGCTGTTTACGAACAGACCTAAACTGTTCTCTTTAACCCAGCTACCTAAGATTGCATCATCTGACCATTATTCAATTCTGGCAAAGCCTATACTTGGAGGTGAAACTAAACTAATAAGTAAATCTAAAATACGCGATATGAGGGATAGTGCGTGGTGTGCGCTAGGTCGATGGATTACTCAAAACGATTGGTCCTCTGTCCTCGAAGCTAATATGTGTAAAGATAAATTTGATCTTTTTAACTCAGATCTTAACCAGGCTATTGATAGATTCCTTCCACAAATGGATCACTACTAAGATAAAAAAAGGGATTTAAAAACGCCAATCAGCCTTTATCCAGCAAGGGAAATGTCAACAGCATACCGATATTGGAGAAACAAAGTCCAACGTTCCATTCGTGCAGCAAAATACCAATATTATAGCGTTAAAGTTACTGATGTACAAAGAGTTAATTCCACAAAATGGTGGAGAGAAATTAAAAAACTCTCTGGACAAAGTTCAAAACTGGAAAGGCACCATCAGTTTCTAGAAAATAGCTCTGACACTAAGTTACTAGCTAATAGGATTAACAACTTCTTTACTGGCCTTACTGATAATTTTGAGCCCTTAACTCCACGCATTGTATCCCATGAAGTTCCACAGGATTTCTTTGTAACTGAAAACGAGGTCTACAGAGCATTATCATTGCTCCAAGTAAATAAATCAGCCGGTCCTGATTACATCCCGAATAGAGTCCTGAAGGAATTCGCGCATGAGTTGGCACCTATCATCAAAGATATTTATAACCAATCAATGAAAGAGGGATATATTCCTGAACTCCTCAAATCATCAATTGTTATTCCAATACAGAAGATCAACCCCCCTAGAACCATAGAAAATGACCTCCGACCTATCTTGTTGACATGTACCATAGCAAAGGTCATGGAAGGTTTTACATACACAAGACTCCTACCTCAGTTAGAAGATAAGCTGGATCCGCGCCAATATGCTCGTAAAAATCATTCAACAACAGATGCTCTACTATATACATTGCAAGCAATCTACGAAGCAGTGGATACTGGTGAGGCCGGAGCACGCTTATTCTTTGCTGATTTTTCTAAAGGGTTCGACCTTATTGATCATACCATCAAACTACATGAACTAGAGAACCTACAAGTTCATCCTGCACTTTTGAATTGGATCGCAGCCTTTCTAACCAACCGTATGCAGGCTGTTAAAATTGATGGAGTTCTATCAGACTGGAAATCAGTAAAGGGTGGAGTTCCTCAAGGAACTAAACTAGGCGTAATTCTCTTTATTGTCATGACAAACAAATTGCTCTGGGAATGGAATCTTCGGACTAAATTTGTTGATGACACATCCGTACTGGAGATTATTCCAAGAAATTCCATTAGCGTCTTAAACAATGCTGCTGCTGACATACATAATTTTGCCATAGAGCATAATATGAAGCTAAATCCTACCAAATGCAAAGAAATGCTTATTAACTTCCTACGCAATCCAAACTTTCTAATTAAACCTATACAAATAGGTAACTACGTTATAGAACAAGTGGAGACTTATAAGATCCTAGGTGTGATCATGAGTAGTGATCTAAAGTGGAACTGTCATGTCGACCACATTATCAAGAAAGCCAGTAAGAAACTATATTCGCTAAGGGTACTGCGTAGAGCTGGAGTCGAAAATGATAATATCTTAAAAGTTTATTTAACTACAGTACGACCAGTGCTGGAATACGCCGTACCGGTATGGCAAGCCATCCCGGACTATTTGTCTGAGGCAATCGAAGTCGTGCAAAAGAGATCACTTAAAATTATCTATCCTGAGTGTGATTCGTACACAGACGCACTAAATCTAGCCGACATTCCTACACTCAAGAGTAGAAGAGATCTATTGTGTGAGAAATATATGGACAAAATGAAATCTAAAGACCATCCCCTACATAATCTGTGTTTGAGCGTCATGGCAAGCGAACGTATGTTTGATGACTCTATTATTATTGAAGACTATTTCGCTTCGCCTTTAAAATCAGGGCATGAAAACCCAACAACAACAACGGAGAATATTAACCTTGTTGGTCTAGGCAACGAATTCTCTTGGGAGGGAACCTTAGACGGATTGAAGGCATTTATACAAAATGACTTGGAGCTTGAAGGAAATTGGTCATCGCCCGGCGGCGACGTGAAAGTTTATACAGGTCCTAAATACACCATAAAGTGGCATGGAAGATCTAAAAAGAAGCTTAGGATCGTTCGCGATGATAGTGACCAAAATTTACGTAAGAAATTAAAGGACCAATCCGTTAAAACTTATAAAGAGAAACCGTATGACGAGCTACAAAGACAACCCGAAGGAAATATGGCGCCGACAAAAAGTAAAAAGCTAGATGATTCGTTAAGAGATACCTGTCTTGAGCCGCTATCTTCCCACACCACGAAACAGCGAGAGGGGGAAAAGAATGTGATTAAAGCGAGGCCATCCGATGAAAACGGACATAAAACCTGTGATTTTCAGTGTTGTTGTAGGGAGCTTGCAGATCAAGTCAAGCGTATCGAAGGAGACATAAAATTACTTAAGAATGGAGTGAAAACTCACGAGGCGAACGAAACACTACAATGTTGTATGGGCGCTTGTAAGAACGAAGAGACTCGTCTGAGAGATTACCTAGAGGCAGCAAATGCCACCATAAAAGACCTAACGGCAAAAGTCCAGAATCTCGAAAGCGAAAAGTCCAGCTTATTAACAACAATTAAAATAATTCAGGAAGATAATTCCCAACGGACGAATAATATGCATACTGAGAAAGATCTCCATAAAAATCCGTGGGTTGAAGTGGAAAATAATAAGAAAAAGAAACGTAAACAAAATGCGAAGCAGAAAGAGCAACAAAATAAACCACCAATAAGATCTGATGCTGAGAAATTAGTTGCTAAAATAAACGTAGATATGCGGCAAGAAACCCGAAGCGCATCACCAAAGACAGCTGGACCAAGCGATCAGACCAAAAATGATGAGAACCTCGACCTTGAGGGAAGCCACCCAGGCACTAAGCCAACAAGAGTAATAGTGGCGGGTGACTCCATGGTTAAACATGTCAACGGTTATAAGATGGCAACGAAAAGCACAAAAATTCAAGTATCTGCCTTCCCCGGAAGTACCACGTTAGATATGTCAGATTATATAAAACCGATATTAAGAAAGAAACCCGATAAGCTTATTATCCATGTCGGCACAAATTGCCTAAAAAGTCGTGAAAACTCGGAGCGCTGTGCGGAAGAGATTATTAAATTGGGCGAATCAGTAAAAAAATGCATACCAGAGACGGAGGTGGCAATCTCGAGCTTAATAACACGATCTGATGACGAGTTTCTAACACGCAAAGTCAGCGATGTTAATAAAGTCCTCAAACAAACCTGCATTCAGAAACATTGGAAATATATCGATCACACGAACATCACACCCGAGGATTTAAACCAAAGCAGAATCCATCTAAATAAAGTGGGAACAATCAAGATGGCACGCAATTTTACTGATTTTATTTATAATAGGAAACATTAGGACAACGCCGTGTGGGAGCCTGTAGCTAATACTGAAATACAGCCAAGTATAGATGACCAATCGTCGATAACCTTGGGTGAGTCAAACGAATCAAATTACTCAAATATCTCATTATATAATTTAGAAAAAATACCATTTCATTGGTGCATG